TTCTTTTTTTTTTTTTTTTTTTTTTTGGTGACATAACTTTTGGAAATGAGCATTAAAAGTGTCACAGACTTTTTATTTTTAAAACTTTATTAATATGAACGATGATAAAACCCTGTAACTTAGTCTACTGTGTTACCGTAACACTCTTTTAGTGAGTTTCAGCAAAGCAAAACACCTTCACTATGAACAAAAATGTCCTTTCTAGTGGAAGTTGAATTGAGAAACATAACAATTGTCCTTCAGCAGATGTTATGTTGGGACCTCTTTAAGCAGCTAAGGCTGTCCTGCTCAGTAATGGAAAAAGTACAACAGTTTTTTTTTTTTTTTTTTTTTTTACAATTTCCTTGAATATGTTCTCAGCGCCTTGGTGAAGTGGCAAGCATTATTAAGAATATATGTTATTGTAATGGTTAGTACACTGAACGTGTAGTTTAACAAAATAAAGCAGAATCAACAACAAAAATCACATTCTCATGTGCAAAAACAACAAAAATCTTAATCCGATCTTTTTCTTCCTGCTTGGATAACTAAGCTTTATCATTTGAGCTTCATTGGTACTTCTGCTGACGTTTAAAAATAAATGCATTTCCACATGCTTTACCTAAATCATCCGTTTTTTTATTATTTATTTTTTTTATTTTACATTCTGCCAAGCAGCAAGACGTCTTGACACTAACCATCATCGGTATTCTCGCTTTTTATCTGCCCCTCCTGAGACCCCTCCTCATCCTCATCATATCTCTTCTCCTCTGAGCCCTTGTTTCTGGGCGGCCACGTCATCTTGTTCTCCTTCTTCAGCCTCCTGCGGGCATTCGCGAACCAGGTGGAGACCTGTGTCAGGGTCATCTTGGTGATGATGGCTAGCATGATCTTCTCCCCTTTGGTCGGGTACGGGTTCTTCCTGTGCTCTTGCAGCCAGGCCTTCAGGGTGCTGGTGGTCTCGCGGGTAGCGTTCTTTCGCCTTGTGCCCCCATCCATAGAACCGTATCTGCGAATAAGAGGAATACAAAGTAAACTTGGATTAAGGGGAGTGGATGTGGCTTCAGTTTTACAGGATTTGGGCGCTACGACTTCAGAAGACCAACGCTCATCCCGATGAACGTTGTCTCACATTTGATACGGAGGGAAATAGAGCCAAAATGTAAACATAGTAATGTATGCACAATTGTTTTTCTCCATAAAATTGCTTTCCAATATTGCAAATGTATCTGAATTAAAAAGCAAAAAACTGTCTGCTACAATCACTAGAACTTTACACCGCTACGCCAAACATGTAAGGACAAAGGGAAACAAAGACTTTCAACAGAACTTACTTGACAACATCAGCACTACAGTGTGGCTCAACTGTTCAAATCAACGTTGCCATCTGATGGCTGCCTCACTCGATCGCCACTTCCTTCACTGCATTTCCCCTTGAAGCCACACCTAGGGGAGCGCATGGACCTTTTCCCAGTTTCACCTCATCCACAAATGCAAACCTCGTGCGAACCGCCATTTAAAATGCATGGTGTTGATTTTCAGTCAGCAACGAGCTGTAAAAACTCCCCTCATGGGAACCTTTTTACGAGGCATTTATTGCTCCGTCTGGCTTAGTGCAGGTCAAGCACTGCTGAGGGAATCAGGAAAAGAGGGCAAGTGTTCACCTTCCCCTTGCCCATGTTGTACCCTCTCAGATAAAATAGACTGTAAAAATTGTTTTATTGAGTGTAATGATGAGCCCTCAGGTAAAAGGCGGGTGTAGACACTGTGCTACTCCTGTAGGCCTGCTTGTCTCTCCCTGTGCCACACACTGATTGTATGGGCTTTATTTCATGCTTGCAGATCTATAAAGATTCATGCAGATGTTTTCTTTTTCTTCTTTTTTTTTTTTTCTTTTGCCCCTCGCCTTTCAATAAGAATGATTCAAAGAAGCTGGGTGTTGAGATTTTTGCTAAAGTCGGGTGTAATTCTTCTGCAGAACTCCAAGAACTCCCTGTAGCATTAAGTGGTCCTTTCTGATCAAGCAGCACACAATATTAAAAATGGCTGCCCTCAATGTGAAGTTCTGTTCATGTTTCATTTTCTTCAACTTCAATGGTAATTCTCAAAGCGACCTAGTGAATGACTTCAGTTTGCATGTTACCCTTGTTTTGGCAAAACCTTTTCAAGGCGGCACACTCTTCAAAGCTGTAAGAAGTCTTCAGGTTTAAATGCAAAGAGAACAGTTTTTTTTTCTTTTTTTCAGTAAAATTTCTGATCAGAAAACAAAGAGAAGCTGCGTTTTAATTTAGTGTCTTAAGCACTCGTCCTCACTTCTTAGTGAGGTGACTTGGCTTTTCTCTAAGCCTCAATTGCAATCTATTTTTTGTATTATTTTTTATAAAATCAGGAGTTTGTCATCTTTCTTTCATTGTTGCCCTGACATAAATGGCACAGGACATGTGGGTCTTCCTCCTTTTAAAATTTGCACCACACTCTATGGAAAATGGGTATTGCTCATCACGATGCTAACTTATAATAATAATAATAATAATAATAATAATAATAATAATAATAATAAAAAGTAAAACAACTGACATACCTGTCATATTGGTACTGTCCCAAGGTAGGATCATAAGGGTAGTAAGCAGTTGCTTGTGTGATTCCCGCATGCGCAGAAGCTGCAGCATCTTTAGTATCAAAAGTACCCTGCGAACATACGTGTGATTCAATAAGTATCTCAGTTCAACAGTGAGAAGGTTGAAACGATTGAGAACGTTATGCTTCTTTAAAGCAACTGATCAAGACCCTGACCACTGATTGCAGGTGGAAAGATCTAGAGAAACAAATACGATTCAGCATTACGATTAAGAATAATACAGGTTCAAATCCAAGTTGAAAAAAAAGTTTTTCTTTCAACAGCTTAGACGTAAACTTTTATAAACATTTTCTGGCAAACGCAACAGAAAGGCAAAGCACTTTAAGGCATATTTTTCTACTTTACAACAGTTCATTATTTTTCATAAAACCTGTTTCTCTTTTCTTTTATTCCTGCAAGAATACTTAAGCTCTTAGTTCCTCACTCAAAAATAAAAATCCCAATCTAAATAAATTTGTTTATATTGTAGATCCATGCACTGTATCTGTATTTTTACTTCACTTAAAAAATAAGTTTGACAATTTAAATAAAATCACACTTAGATTTTTATGCTCTTCTTATCTCCAGTGCTTCATTTGAATTATAATTAAACTCTTTTTTTTTTTTTTTTTTTTTTTTCATCGGTTTTCTCAGCCTACAAAAAAAAATAAAAAAATAAATAAATAAATAAATAAACGCTGAAGAAACAAACTGGCGAGACCTGCAAAGTTATTAACATGTCTGTTTTTAATTACTGGGAGGAAAGTCTTAAGAGGGTAGGTAATCTTAGTGGCATTTGTGGGTGCAGGTCATTAAAGATTGGAAGAGAGAGCCTTATTTAAGTCTCAGCACACCGTGGCTCCATTAATCAATGCCAAGAGGGAAACAGAAGAAAGGTTTACCAGCGAGTAGAAAGCCGACGCGTCTGTCCCGTATGCAACATAATTTCCATAGCCCTGACCACCGGTGTAGGGGCTGCCGTACACGCCTAGCGCGGCCGCGGAGCTCAGTTCGTGCCTCGCCGTGGCCAGCAGCCGGCTCTCATACACGGGACAGTAGACAGGTGTCTGTCCAGACGCCGCTACCCCGGAGTCCGCTATGGATCTACCAGTGGACTCGCAGCAAGTGGTAAGAGAGTTGGTTGTCATCAGGAACTACGAGGGAACAAAAAGCAAAAATACATGTTTGTCATGTCTGGACACTCTTTTTACAAAGCTGATATTGAAGTTAGTATGAACTGATTTTTTTTTTTATTTAGTTACGTATTTATTATAAAACTCTGCGTTATATGCTTCAGCTTTCTTACAATAAACGTGTTTTTCGTTCTTTAAGACATATTACGTCTTTAGAAATGATCACATAACTCATAACTTATGCATATCAGAAAATAAGCAACACAACACAGGAAATTGTGGCGAAAATGTTCGCGTAAAAGTGCCCTGGAGGAGCAGAAATGTTCGCCTTGATTCGGATAAAACACGTGCTTAACAAACACATGTTTTTTTTTCCTATCATCGTTCCGTAGTACCAAAAAAAAAAAAAGTAATGGCAAAATGATTTTTATGGCTCAGAGCCAAAGGCAAACAGCAGCTGGTTTGTGGTGTGGCGTGTGCCGAACAAGTTGGCATGCGTGTTCCAGCGCTGATAAACATATGGTTGACATTACAGACGGGCTATTATCTTACAGAAATCAGTGAATGGGAGGTCGAGGGAATCGGGTTACCCCCTCGTTTTAACCCCCTTTTTTTTTTTTTTCTTTCCCTCCTCCACTAGAAAGACACAGGTATCACTGGCTGCAACACGATACCTTTCCCGTTAGCCGAATCTTGTCTAAAAGTGCGCAAAATGGGATCAGGGTTTAAATCAATAAGTGACTCGGTCACGTTAAGAGGAAAAAGTCAAGGATCGCCACCGTAAAGATGCGAAAGAAGAAGAAAAGAAATACGCGAACTTACTTGTGGAGCAGACGAGTATGGATATCCAAATTGTGGATATGACATGGTAGAGAGGTCCCTCGGTATCCAGAAATAAAGCGAGACTGAAGGTCTCCACTCCTGCGCAGGCTGTGGCTCTGTTTCACTGTTCCAATTGATTGGCAAGCACAGGCTCCTAGGATGCTTATAGGGCGAAGCACAGTAGCATGTTTAATTTGGGTTAAAAAGAAAAAAAAAAAAGCAACCCTTTATGGAAAAAGTCTAAGATAAAAAAAAAATAAAAAATAAAAATAAAAATGAAAAAAAAACCGCAGTATTCTTTCCCCCCCCTCTCCGTCCTTTTAAAGTCTGTTAGAAATAAATTAAAATGCCTCGAATAATCACTCTCTTGTCGGGTACATATTTTTACCTTATAAAAAAGTAGTATAAAGGACGTCAGCAGCTGAGGCAGGTTGTTTTAAACGGAGAGGACTCTGACGTCAGAAGTTTCCCACTCAGAAAATGACCAGACTGTAACTTTAATATGCATTTTTTTTGTCTCACAATGACGACACAAAAAATACACACACTAAATAAATAAATAAATAAATAAATAAATAAATAAATAACACCCATTAACTGAAGAAAATGGGATAATAAAAAACAAGAGAGAGACATGTACGGAAAAAATGTCTTTGCACTGAGATTAATTTGGACTCCCAATCAATCAATTAGGCCAATCAGTGTCTTGACTGTGCAAACATATGTATTAGTTTAAATGCATTAGGCCGAATCAAGTGCATTCTTATCGTTCTTGCACGCTGAGGTAATTACATAAGGAGCTAATTGATTTTTAATTTCAAATTATCACATTAAGCAGGAAGTAATGCAAATTCAATTCAAGACGTCAGGAAAGCAGTACCTGATCTATCTATCTATCTATCTATCTATCTATCTATCTATCTATCTATCTATCTATCTATCTATCTATCTATCTATCTATCTATCTATCTATCATTTAGTGTTTGGGTCTTGTAGAACTGTCAGTGGACAGTAACCAAACACTTAAAAGCCACCAAACTGCAAGGCTCGCAACCAGCTCGCCTCTGTTGCGCGCACCCTTGCTTGGAGAATCCCGGGCTGAGACATGTGGATAGCCCCGGGGGTCACTCCTCAAATTAATGATGATGTACTCCTCCTCCTCCTCCTCTTTTTTTTTTTTACCTCCTCACTCCCCTCCCTCCCCTTTACCCTGCTCTCCAGCTGGATATCTGCCTGCCGGTGACAGGTCGATTGAGAGTGATTGATGACTATCTGGGGGACCGGGGCCAACATAATAATATGATACCGGCACCTCACAATAATTGCTCGCTTTCATTTACAGATGAAAGTGGCTATATAGGGGTTGTAACGACAGGGAAGGCTTGCGCTTTGGCATGGAAACTTTTGTTTTGTGCTTTTTTTTTTTAAGGCCGTTTCGAATGCCTTGGGGTGGGCGGACTTTATAAATTGTCTGTTCCTTCATTCATTTTGACAAATTGAATTATAGGGGGTACCTCCAAGCAAATGGCCGCATTAAAGCAGCGAACAGAGGGGGGGTTAAAAGAGATCAGCCAGCCCTTTTAATTTGCATTAACTCTAATGCCGCCTTAACAACCCGTCGGAAGCGCTCAAGCGTGCACTCACTCACATCTACAGCAAATGCAGCTTCATTTTGTCTTATTCGTTTAGACTGGGTGGGGGAAAAAATCATTGGGGTTAATGTGACACACAGTGCATTAAGTGGGAGGCGGGGCCCGATTAATCCTCAACATCACGCCCAGCAGAGAAGCAACAGGACCGGCACAAGGTTATGTGGCCCTAAGCAGAACTTTACCTTTGGGGGTCTCGTTTTCCAACTGTACCCGGCGTGGGGTGGGGCTCCGAAAAGTTTCAGGAGGAATGGTCAGATGAGGGTCACAGATAACCTTTGGGTTGCACGAAAGCCACGAAAGCTGAAAGTCTCGTTCTTCTTGCTTTCCAAGGTGGGTAAAAAAAAAAAAATGGAGAACAAGGAGCGAAAGAATTGGAAAAGAAAAAAAATGTACTTTTAAATCATGCCAGTCAGCTTTGTAAATTCCATCTTTAACTTCTCTTGTGTTAAAATAATGTAGGAATTTTTTTTTTTAGTAATTATTTTTATTCTTGTTTTCACTCACTCACTCACTCACTTTTCGGAAAATGAGTATAAACGAAACTTTTTTATTATTGTTGTTGCTCAATTTATTTTAAGCATACACTGTTTTAAGTTGGACTCTACTGTCATCACAGGTAGGGATGAGAACTTTTAAAAAAAATACCTAAATTATGTTATTAGGTTTGTAATTATAAATAAACTTTGCAACTTGATGAAACCTTTTTTTTTTTTTCTCTCATAAATGTTAAAAAATAAGTGGCCCTGGTAGCCAACTGCTACTCCTTAGTGTCCCCACAAGCCCTATGTAATCATACCCATCTTGGAAATATTGACGTCCAAGATTTAATTGCTTATTTATTTTCAAACAAGCATGGTGGAGAAGTCTGATAATCATTCGTCTATATAGAAACAGTAACAAATAGCATTTAGATATCAAACTCAAATTATAAAGGTCTACCTGTGTTTGCGTGTAACTGAGGCAAAGCAGTTACTTTTTGTCGCTCAAGAATGTTTCGGGCCTCTAACTTCCAGCTGGAGACCCTGGACAGCTGTAAATATCTGCAAAGCTGTAGCTGATATTTTTTTTTTCTTTTACTTTGTCGCATTTCTCATAGTTCTTTTTTTTTTTTTTGTTACTTACTGATTATATCACCAAGGATCTCTGGCTCTGCCTACTATTTGCATACACCCCTACGCATATATAGAATGGGGCAGGCATGTCCTAAAAGAACGGCCACCACCCGCTCTTCTCTGGTGTGCACCTTTTCATTATCCACTGCGTTATCCACTGTTATCAGACGCGCATAATAAAATATTTAGGTGCACCAGTGTATGCTTTTAGACATAAAATGAAGGCGACGGCAGGAGTTACTGTTTGTTTAGCGTTTAAAGATTAAAACAGAAGCTTCTGCTTTTTTTTCCCTCACTTGAACAGATGTGGGCAAGAAGGAAAGAAGGGATGCTTTCAGTGCAAATTGGAGCAAGTGAAGGATAAAAATGTGTGTGTGTGTTTTGTTTTTTTTCCTTATTTCAAGACAAAGAGGTTATCATTTTAAGCCTGGTTGCATTTTCACAGGGTTTCTTCCCCTTTCAAAGGAATTAGACATGATCTTCAAGTGAGGGATGTAATCTCTTGCATGTAATGCAGATGAATAGGCAGGTTGGAGATGGTTTTACTGCTCAGATCAGAATAGATTTATCCAGTGTTCTGCTGTGATCAAATGTTGGAGCATTTATCATGTTCAATGAGCAACATAAATCAGCCCACTCACTCATAAAGCCCATTAGACTATGTGTGCGCTTCGTATCCTGGCAGTGCATCAATGTGTATATGTTTAATAATGTGTTTCCCTGTTTGCAATTGGAAATTTAGAAAGTTTAGATTCTAAGTGTTTTCAGAGTGAAAATTCCCAAACTGTGATCTTGGATGCGTTTTGAGGCAAGGGAACTAATTTGCATCTCCTTCCGAACTGAAAGTCCCGAGGAACATTGTAATCACGAAGGTGTCACGTTCATGATAATCTGTCATTGATTAATGAGACACAAAGGAGGAAACTGAGGAAGTGGTGCGTATGTGTTTTGGTCCGTCTGTGTTGGCGAGTTAAAGACAGACATATAGTTAAGACCCAAATTATTCACACTGATTTAGAATTAAGGTGATTTTCAGTTCTTGCTTATAGGAAACGAGAAAAGCATCTAAATCCATGTAAAATGAATTTCAGGTTTTAACTAGATTTTATTAGAAAATGAAACATCGACATTTATTTGTACCTTTCTCAGTAATCAATACTAAAAATCCGTGGGCATTACAGCGTTAACATCTTTCTTTAATTTGCATCTTTTTTATATATTTCCACTGGTAATTTCATAGTTTACCAGATGACCTCCAAGTCCTTCAAGTTGAAAAGCGTCCATGTCTGGCAAATTCTAACTTTGGACTCTGACTTTGCTCCTCAATAGGTGAATATTACTTCCAGTTAAAATATGTTACTAAGATTAAAACTATTACTTAACTGTGTAAAAATTAACTTCATGATATAAGAATATATGTATTCAGCAACCAGGGCCGGTTTCAGGAAGAAAGCTAATCATAATAGATTGACAGTTGAGTATACATCAGCTTTATAGTTTTATCTTTGTCCATAAAGAGAGTCTATATTAAGAAAAAAAATAATCCGAGATGGACAAGAAACTGAGTACAGAGAGATGGTGGACCGCTTTGTGGCATGCTGTGAACATCTGTAGCAGCATCAAAGCCAGTGACTTAAAACGGCTTTGAAAATCTGACAGAGAACATCGGTTCTGTTCTGAGGAGTGGAGCCACTGGAGATGATGGTGCAAAGAAGGATTTTACATAAAATCAAGAAAGCTACGGACAACCCTGAGCATTCTCTGTACGAGACTAATGGTGTTTGTTCAAAAAAAGACACAAAAACAACTGTGTCTTTGTTTGGAGGCTTATTCAGATGTGTACCGCTACAGGAGATCCTTTCTGCCTGCAACCATCAGCATCTACAATAACTCTTTGAAAAACTTTGAAAAATATAAGTTACACCAGCATTTAATTTTGCTTAAGGATCGATAAAGTATTTTTGAATTGAATGAAATGAATTTCTATTTTTAATTTATAAAGGCTAATTAAAATTGGGACATCAGGCTTAAGTGAGGCCATATAACCAGTAGTTCACTGGGACAATGTTGTAAAAACTAAAACCTTGCATCAGTGTGCAACATATACATAGAGCACGTGATGATAAAAAAAAAAGATCGCCAAGACACATACAGAATTGTTTAATATATGTATTCAATTTGTAGGGGTTCAGATGAATGACAAAAATATATTTCCAGAGTGCAAACTGAGTGAGCCGTGAGACAAGAAAGTTGGTTCAATCATGTGTGGTTCAGTGATAGTGCTGATGTTAACCTCTGGCATTTTCTAACTCCCCAAAGTGGGTGAACATCAGGTGAAAGAACTCAGAGCGTAAGTCTCTTCATTTCCCTTTTATCGTTCCTGATGAAAGGTGAAGATTTATCCTCACTGATATTTCATTAATAAAAATGTGATTTTCTTTCAATTACCTCTACTTTTTTCTTTTTCTTTTTCTTTTCTTTTTTTTTTTGCTATTTGTGACAGCACTAATGGTGTTTGTTCAAACTTTTCTAAAATGTGTTTTTCCGCTCCACCTTGCATGCGACCAGTGCTACATTGTCTTGCGGTCCACTTTCTCATGCATTATTTTTGAGTCAACAAGGTAGAAAACCAAGCTGACCTCAATAGCCAAAGACAGCTGCACAGCCCAACTTGCTCTGTGACATGAAGCCCTGAGCAGCTCCCAGGCTTTTCAATAGATTCTGTGTTTCTCCTTTTGTAGTTGTTGAAACAACACTCACACATTCACAGGGAATGCTTATCCAGCACAACATTAACCTATATACTGTCTTGTAGTCTTGGAGTCCAAATGGAATATTGATCTCTACCGATCCTTCCAGAGTAAGTTTTTTTTATTTTTTTTTATTTCTTTTCTCAAGCACAATGATTTTTGTTCCCACTTCTTTACTTTTGTCCCTAAGGCCCAATTGTTTTTTTTTTTTTTTTCTTTCTTTGCATAAGTTGGATAGGAACCTGCGCCACTTTGGCACTTTATAGAAAACTTGGGGCCACTACATGAAATATCCTTGTGAGTTCAAGCTAGTTTACAATATTGTTTCACACATCATATTGACAGTTTATTAGGTTAGTTAACAAAAATGTTATGATAAAGTCAACATGAACGCTTTAACATGTAATACATTTTACTTATGATGAAACTAATGTATAGAAAATAAAAAATATAATGACTCATCACCTTTTGACACTTGGTCTTATGGATTTTTTTGATTGCTCCATATGATCACACTGTTTTTTATGTTGGCTTCAATTAGAGGGACATTCTCATCCTGGCTCTGTAGGAGAGAATTTTTATTTTTTTTCTCATCTCATTGTTGTGGTTGCAATAACAGCTATGGGAGAGAGGCCTAGACACCCCTACCTATAGTAGTGCTCCCCGACTATTTTCAGGGATTCTAAGGCTTTCAAAATGTAGAAGAGCCATCCAAAATGAGGCTTTGAAGCACCCTGTTCAGATGCCAAAATCCCTTTACTGATTTCTTTCAATTCTGTCAAGGAATGACTCTACTCTAAGCACCAATTATCCAATTCTCTGCTAACCCTAAGGCTAAGTTCAATAACCTAAAGAGAAAGCTAATTTACCCTGTTTGTTTCCAGGATTTTGTCTCTTCACCATAGGTGATTTTTTTTATTATTGTTTTTTTTTTTTAAGTGAAACTGGAATTTTGGTTTTTGGTTCAAGTTTTAAATCAATAACTTTGAAAGTTGATTTTCCAGTGAATACATTTGAAAAAAAAAAAATCTGACACTTCCACAGTCAATCACACAAATTACAGGTGGGACATTTTTTGCCGATCTCATATATCAGCATTCAAAGACACTGATCATGGCATTAAAATTACCAAAGATGTTTTGCATTGTCATTATATTAAGCTGTTATTAAGCATTCCATTTTATTTTATTGTTTTAAAAGAATGCGTCTCATTTTGGAGCCATGGTTTGAGTAGAAAATATATTTTTATAGGAGACTGCTGAATGTGTCCTAACTACTGTACATGGGGATCAAACTCTTAAGCCTCCCTGGTAAAGTCTTGATTGGTTTTGGATAGTCAAATCTCAGATTGGGGTTTTCTTCCAGGTCCGTGGAACACTAAGCCTACTCTACACCATCAGCAAGGTCCTACGGGGTGCATGGGAGTTCGCCCAACAAGTCTACATGTGTTTTGTACTCGAGGAGTATGGGGTACCAGACCCTTCGATACGGACCTGTAGGTCCCTGTACAACTGGTGCCAGATATTTTTCTACATTGCCGGCAATAAGTCTGGCTAATTTCCAATGAGAATTGGACTCAGTCCCTTTGTCATTGTGTTCATAACCTTTATGGACAGGATTTCTAGGCACAGCCAAGGTGTTAAAGGGTATTCTCTTAGTCACAGGTTGCATTTGGAGTAAATGTTATGATACTGACTGTATCGAAGTTTTTATTTGGCTTGACATGTAGATTAATTATGCAAAACATGAAACATTAACTCGAATAATAATTATTTCCATTATCTGTCATCCATCATGTATTCGAAGTAATGGCGAAATTCTATAAAACTAACCCTCTATGTTTTTTGCTATAATAATATGCTTCATATGAATCTGCTAAACCTTTTCTTCCTGACTCTGCTCTTGCTCCCAATTCTCCTGGTGTTACTCCTCTTCAGCCGCTCTAAGAGGTTTAACATGTCAAAGTTCTCTCAGCTCATCCATAATTGATTGCCACAACGGAGCATCTTCGCTGCACTTAGTTAATCAGCTATCTGCAGGTGTTCCCTTAGCAACTGACCAGGCCCTCAAACACTGAAGCGCCATATGCAGACTCTTCACCCCCAAAAAGTGGGCACCCATTGTGTCTTGTAAATATAGATGTCTGCCCCTTGTTCGCTTGTTATGTCCCATAACTCAGCGTGTATGTCTACGCAAAACACAGGAAATGAGTAAAAATCATCAAAACCTTTGTAACGCTGGTGTTTGTCTGCCGCCCTTCTGTGGTAAAGCTGTGATTTCAATTAGCATAAAAGGATAATCCCAAATGTAATGTTTTTAAAGAAAATATGCAACGGAAACAAAAAAAAGCTGTGCAGACAACTCTGTTTGAAAAATATTTTCTTAATTTATTAAAAGATATATACATTTCCATGTCAAATAAATTATATTCATGTTGGTTAATAAAGCCCATGACAAAAATTACATATTGTTTTTGGTCCATTTTAGAGAGTAGTGCAAACTCGATGGTCAGCAAGGTTAGTAATACAGTTTGTTCAAATGAGTGTGTGTTTGGATGTGTCACAGAGAGCGGATCCATAATTCACATACACACTCACACACACCCACATGTTAGAGTGTCAGAAAAAGCCATGACTCCCTTGGCTGCTCCAACACCTGTGACCACTAGTGGTGCAACCATGTGCAGTCACCAGTTCTTGAATATATTTACACCATATGGAGTTAGTACAAAAGCTTTGATTTGTCTTTTTTCAGAAAAATAGCAAGATTAAATATTTTACAAGATAAAATTCTGTTTCCTACATACGGACTGTGATAGGCCAATGTGGTTGTTCATAATATCATACAATACATTAAAGATTGTATAAGCTATAATCTACCTCTTACCTTCTGGTAGTGATCCTCATTATTTCTATTGTCTGTTTAGGAACTTCCTGATGGACATTTATTTACACATACAAACAAATGGTCTTTCACCAACCGAACATTGATAAAACCATCAACTTTCACATCATAACCAACTCAATATTGTCATACTGGTGCCTTCATCTTTTGAAGATTAGTTGATAATCTATTACATACCAGTACATCTAGCTGACTCATCAGCTCTACATGCTGTGAGCAAAGACTGAGAACATTTTCATTGTCTTAGACTGTGATGTGCAGACTGAGACTCTTTTTTGGCAGTGGAAGCTAAACGTTTATTTTAATTTAATGTAATTTATTTATGTATTTATTTATTTATTTATTTATTTATTTATTTTATTTAAAGTGCCATATACATATGGCACTTTGCTACAATGATGTGAAGAAGAGAGAGATTAAAAAATATTTCCTAGTAAAAATATAGGACATGTTCCTCTGCCTGTAGGCCAGTTATGGGCAGTAACACGTTAGAAGTAATGCGCAAGCAGACTGCGCAACTCCGTTGCAAAACCTGTTAGTGAGCGTCTCGCGACAATCACGTTTGAACGTGTGGCGTCAGGAGTGTAGATCAACAACAGACAACATGGAGTTTGGGGGTGGACAAAAGAAAACAAGGAGCATGGGAGAGCGCAGGACCATGCTGCGTTAATGTTTGGAAGTACCGACATTACTTTGACTCAGTGACAAAAACATTCGGGTCCTCTGTACGCTCTGCTTCGGAAGAAAACTTAAGCGAAAAACTCAATTTCACCGAGCAAACCACAGAAACCCCCGTATTCTCTCCACCGAGTTGATGGCTGCGGCTCCGACAGCTCTCTCCTGCTGAACAGGTAAAAATAGATTAAAAAAACAAACAAACAAAAAAAAAAACAAAAAAAAAAACAAACAACTCTTTATCAATCCTCTCTGCAATTCACCAATTGTTAAAATATGTAAATCTTACTAACCAATATATTAAATTATGTTCATTTTAGGTCCTGAGGTTTCCGTAACACCTTGTCTGTAGGAGAACTGAACCTACACCATTTTGCAGGTAAATGTGATTTAACTATTGTCTCAAAACAAAGACAATAGCAGTTTCTGTTCACATTATAAAATGGCTTTACACATTATATTAGCAGATAGCATGATTTACAAGCTTAGCACAGGTAGAATTAGCATGGCTAGCATTTAGCAACAGTGACTGTGTGTGTGTAATAGCCAACATTACTTGTTCTTCCCCTGACTCACTTTTAAGCACTGCAGTGGTAATCAAAAATGAAGGGAGAGTCTTTTCCCCTCAGGAACAACATATAAGCAGAAGAAATGTTTTTCACAGTGAAACATGGTAAGACTTAAATGGGGTATATTCACTGTTGCACTTGACAGACGCTTCCGAAACTGTAGATCATGAGATACTAATTTCCAATCTGGACCGGTGGATAGACATCACTGGTTCAGCTCTCAATGAGTTTAGGGCTTACCTCTTAGACAAAAGACTGTGTCAGCATTGGTTTCTTTTCCTCCAGCTCTGCTGCTCTCCACTGGGTGTCACAAAGTTAAATTCCTGGCCCTTGGGTAATTTCTCTACCTGCTTCCAATAGGTCAGTCCTTGGGAAACACATGGAATCTAGCCTCTCCTCAGCTGACCCGTATTTACACTACATGCGTTTGTTTCTGATGCGCACTTCGCCACCATTCGTGTTGACATCTAAAGCTAGGTTCTATGCTTCTCGTTTCTTTCATTTTAATGTCAGGAAGACAGAAGTCCTGTTGTTCAGACCACACATCAACAATATGTGTGGTCTGAACAGCAGACCACACATATTATTAACCTTTCCTTTCTGACACAGTGTAAAAAAAAAGCATTGGTTACAAATTTAAGTGTCAAAATGAATTGTTTTTGAAAACTTGAGAGGCTTGGGAAATCTGTGGTCAAACCGGGTTGTTTCAGCTGATACGACTGGCAAAAATCTTGCCGGTTTTATCAAAGAAAACAGGAAAAGTGTCCATATTTTTTTATGATGCCTGCTTTTGAATACTGTAATACAGGCTGGCTTTTAGTTGAATTGGAATTTGTTTTTAAGCATTTTAATTGTGAAGTTCCATTTTATTTGACAGAACTGCAGAATCCATATGAAACATCTTGTGCGTTCATGTCTGCTGACCAGAGGTTTTCCAAAAACCCAAGTAAAGGTAACAGTGTTCCAGTTGATGCCCCAACACCCTGGAATATTTCACTAATTATTGAAAATTACACATCACACCAGATATATCAAAGAAAGCAGTTTTGACGTTTTATTTTTTTCTTAATTAAAATGTCCAAGTCAAGTCTCAGATGAAGCTGGATGCCACATTGGGCATAATTTCATTGTTCTGAAAATCTGAAAAAAAAAAAAAAAAATATATATATATATATATATAGCCTTGTTGATAAAGCTCAAAAGTCAGTGTGAGGTATTTCAAAGACGGTGATGTTCAAATAGACCTTTTAAAGTGAAGATGCGAAAGTTGGTACATATGTTTGGATAAGGTCTAAGTAAAAAAAAAAAAGAAAAAGAAACAGTCCTCCAACCTGTTTTCTCCTTTTTCCTTTCCTGTCCTCATTTCTCTTTGTGAAAACAGCAACAATAATCAGAAATGACTGTTGTTTCCTCCTCAAGAATTTTCCATTTGTTTTTGGTGGTGATGCGCATTGATATTATAAAGTCATGATCTTCTTTCAGTATTCATCAACCTAATATAACTAGAACATTGAGCGTAGGTGCGTTACGGGGCATAAATGGGGTGGAGGCCATGACTGTCTTCTGGAAAAGAATGCTGCCTGGGTAGGGCACTTACAATCATTTATTTATAATTCAACCACTGAGACACAAATGCACTTTATTGTCTCATTCTGCATCTTATTCTACCGGTAAACCTGGAAATGGGCTTAGTTTTTAATGAAAGAGCCATGTTAATATCAAGGCAGATAAAACCTAGCATGTGCAGACGGGACTGCAGTGTGGAATCCCAATCACAAGTTCCTTCAATCACGCCAAAGCAGAACAAGAGAAAATGGACGCATTTGAATATTTTCCTCCACCTGGACATATTAGAAGTATACAATATTAATAGCTATTTAACATGCATCTGCTTTTTGGGCCTCTTATTTTCGCAAATCTGCTTAAAAAGCAAGCAGGTAATGCAAGAGTAACTGTGGCAGCTGTGGGCACGACATGGTTTTTCAACAAGAGATATTTGCAGTATTTCCACTCTAATTCTAATGTTGGTCTTCCTCTCTGAATTGGCTGGAAGTGGTTCTTATCTTCTAACAGGCTAATCTTAACTTTTTCTTTCCATTGTTTTCAATTTTCCAAAATAAAGTAATGAATAGAATGATTTTATTTCTTATTTTCCTCATATAATTTCATATTTTATTCAAGTCCTTTTGAAAAGGCCTTTTTTTTTTTTTTTTTTTTTTTTAAAAAAAAGGGTTTTTTTTTTTAATTCCTCCCCCGGCCCC